GCGTTCCGGGGCGAGAGCGGRACAGCAGGGCCGCTGGGGCACAAGGACGTGGCCGGCGCGCGAGGGCGCCCAGGGCACGAGGGCAGCCTGGGGCACGAGGGCGGCCCGGCCCCGTGGCCTCACCGCCGCCCCCGCGGCTCGGGGCCCCGGGCCTGCCCAGCCCCAGGCTGCCCCACCGGCACGGACAGGGCGCCAGCGCCGCAGCCGGCCCGGCGCTCCGCGGAGGGTGCTGCAGTCCTGCGGTGGAGGTTTGCAGCCTCCTGCACGCTGTGTAAACGCTGCACCACAGAGCAGCAGCTGAACTAGCTCTGTGCATGCACGGAGGAAAATAAAGCTTTAAGTAGGGGAGRGATTTCCTAGTCTCATCATTCAGCACCATCAAAATGACACAAGAGTCTCCTAAAAGAACATCTCTGCTTTTTTTTTTTTTCTCCCGAAAAAGGCACCGAAAAGGCAATATAAATAGTGAAAAGCAGCAGAAAAGGGGCTTTGACTCACAATCAAGATCATTAATACGAGAAGAAAAAATCCCAGAGTCAAATTTCAGTTACTGTATTACACAAGCAGAAGAGAATATGGGAGCGTGAAYAGCATAGTCAGAAGTTCTCAGAGCTGAAGGAAGTTCTGGCATCAGCTCCTGCACATCCCATACTCATTCTCTGTTCAGCAACTTCCTTGTGAATTGTCTCCTTGCATGATAACTGCTGGCTGAGCAACAATATTCTCTGGTCAGTGGCTACATATACTAATAACGGCAGAAACAGAAACAAGTATCCACAAAAGCCTCCAGTTCAGAAACAGAAAAATTGGGAAGCTCCTGATCTGCACAGAAGGGAATGCAAGAGATCAAGATACAGACCAAGGTAGCAGTGAAACCTCAGACTGTCCAAGAAATAACACGGATCAGTGGAAATTGCAGAAAAAGCTAGTACTACAGCACATGAGCTAGAAACACTAAAAACAAAGATAAAAGCAACCTTTAATTGCAGTTGAAGACTTGTAGCAGTGTTTCAAAAGTACAGTAACTGATGGCTTTGGCATATTGTTTTACATGGTGAGTCTCCAAAGGACAAGAGCTTGAGAAGAACTAGCCAGACCTATTGCTAGTGCTGCTGATTTCAGCAATATTCTTCAAGCAGGTGTGTAAATACAGAAGGCCTCCAGGAGGATTAATAATAATGAATAATAAAGTATTATAAATGAAACAGGATAGAAGTAACACAGAAGGAAAACTGCAAGTATTCAAGAATACTTGTACCTGTTCAGAAACCAAAGCCTATTTCAATATTAATTGGTAAATGAAATTCATGYTAAAACTAGTATCACTTTTGAAGATATCTATGAATGCAAAACAGAACTTTGACTTCCGCCCCCCCCCCCATGCAAACTCTAACAAACCATTAAGGGTCCAATGTTAACAGTTCTCTGTTACAGAAAATACTAGGATTATGACCATTGTTTTTCTATGCCTCCTCCATTAAAACGCTTCCATATATTTAAGGACTATTTATAATAAATATAAAGCTTGCAAGTTTACTAGAAGAGACAGAACTAATGATCACCATTACAGTGATCACCAATCRTTATTACAAACTACTGATGTTTTTATTGGTCATTGATGTTTGTAACAAGATGTGACAATCTTCTTTAATATACGTAGTAATGCATTCGAAAAACTGGTTAGCTGCTTTGTGGTTCTAAATATACTAAWAGGCCACATCCTGAAACTGGAACTCATTCCATCTTCAGTCTTAAGATGTAGGTAATGTCTACTTATGTGYGATATCTCCTTACTCTCAATAAAGTGTGTTCCCATCTTTCACACTTCAGGAGCTGGCATACAGCTGCAGACATGCAAAGCAGCATTTCAGCCAACAGGCCTTCACTAAACACAAGTTTCTGAACTCAGCCKTAAGTGCCAGTGCTTAAGGTAAGAGAGAAGAAATAAACTTGCAATGCTTCTTGGGTTTCAGCGCATCCCAACTTATTCCCAGTTGTTCAACCCTACAGCGTCTTTTACAGATAGGTATTTAAWGTAGATGAAAAAGCTGCCTTCCAAATTCCACCTGATGATGAAGGCCTTTCAGAAACTCAGCAGGTAAGGTACTACACTGCATCAGCTGAAARCATTTCTGCTATTTAGATCTAGTGAACAGAGTACTTCTCTCAGAMGTCTGAAGAGGATTGTGGAATCACATAAAATCTATCACAGAATGTTTAGAAACCATCTTAGAAGAAGATCAGGGAGAAACAGCTGCATCAGGAATAAACAAGTATGGTAAAAGAGAAGTGATGGAGAGAATAAAAGCAGACAAATGTGAGTAAGCAGGCTGTTGGTCAGGMGTCTCTGCCTGGCCAAGCATTGCACTTAATCACCACAGCATGTTCTATACTTCTGTAAAACTCTATTTCCTGTATGAGCATGCTCCCTATGTTGAAAGCATTTCTTTCATAGGAATGTGTAGAATCCAGATATGGATGCTGGAAAGACTGTAGTCCTCGTCAGAAACTGGAGACCGTTAGCATCACTAAGCGCATATTCATGTTCCTCTAGCAAACTTTCAGCCTGTTTGGTCAGCAAGCAGGAACAGGATCAGGCCATTTCTGCAGTTCATGTTTTATCTGAGTGCCTGTAAAAGCACCATGCTCTTGTCTGTTTGTGGTCACATCTGCAGTGAATGCATGCATCACTATAAATCACACTCATCCTCAGAATTGGCCAGATGTGAGCACATTGTGCACCCAACAGACATGGAGGGAAGAAATCTCCTGCATCCACAGACCTGGAACAATCCATAGCAAATCAATCCCTCCTGGTTCACCCAATTTCATTTGCTACAGTACACATGAAAGTTGCAGCATGAAAAAGCCCATGGATAGAAACTTTTTTTTTTAATTGTATCATCCTATTGACTGCTTTTCTACCCAAAGTCAAAATATCTCAGAACCACAGATTGAACAACAATCAGCTATCYTCTGTGGATATTTGAACTTCCTCTGACATCTTCCATCTCCGAATTCCATTTTCTCCCCACATAGCCTACGACAGATTTAAGTGTCCCATTCTGTTTTAATGGAACATCTTCCATGTAGTTGAACATACATAGAAGTCCATAATCAGCCAAGGCAGATAACAGTTTCTGATGTTGGCAGCAATAATACAAGAAGTCCTCCAAAGAAGTTCAGAAAAGAAAGAGGTAACAGGGTAAAATCAGCAAACTTCAAACATATTTTAACTCAAGCAGACAAGCTCTTCCCCAACTCTCAGTTATGAGTAATCATATGTATTGAAATAGGTATGCCTTCTGACTGGAATGGTCTGGAGAGATGTACAGCAGATTCTGACGTCTCAGCATAGGCACTTGCAGGTAGGCGGCACCTTTGCCTGTTTGGGCACACTTGTGGACTATAACAATCCATACCCTCCAAGTGAAGGCAGCACTGAATGAAAAAGACTTCACTGGAAAAAAATTAGTTGCAGTAACCTGAACAAGTCCCATCTGCAATGCCATATTCARTGCGTAGATTAGTTAGACTCATAAGCATTGTTCAGGGTGTAACAGAAGACAAATTGAGTGGAGATACACGACGTGTGGGAGTGTTGTTGGCTGACAGTGATGCAGGAAGGAAAAAGGGAGCAGCAATTTCTGTGGACGAGGTTTCTCCTTGGTTGCGAAGTTGTAAAATCTGCCGAAGCAAGGCCTTCCCTTCTTCTCTAGTCTGAAAACAATTTATATTAACAAAATACAAAAACAAACAAAAAAAACCCGCTATGTTGCGTGATTGAAGTACAAGTCTATTCCCTATGAATGGATGATTTCTGAGTCATATTCCATACATAAGCAAGGTAAGTTACAGTAGTAGGGCATTCTGCAAGACTACAAGATATTAAAAGTATTCTTTTTTTCCCCGCTATTTAATAAGAACAGTAAGATATGTCAAAGCTTTTATTAAATAGCCCTTAGTTTCCCACATTATTTTATATTCAGACTAAAATGGTACTAGAAACCACCAAGAGTGTCCAAATATCCCCATCAAAAAGTAGATTTGATAAATTTCAAATAAAACATAATCTAATTCTTTTTTCAAGTTCCTGACATCTTTGTTAAGTACAAGCCAAACACCTTGAACTCAACGGTTACTGTGTCTCCTCCTAGCCTGAAGTTAAARATCCAAGTGTTTCACTTGCAGCTTCAGAAGATCTCATGATACTGAGTCACATACAGAAAACAAGCACTATTATATCCTCTGCATTGTCTACATACAAATAAGATCAGAAGCATGAGGTCATGTTAATACTAGTACTACACAGACTGCCTTATGACCATTAGGTCCTTTCTTCACCCTCAAGATTTTCTGCAGTCTTGAGACTTTCACTAAGAGTCTCAAATACTTGTACTTAGTGAACATGAATTCAATATGATTTGGTTCAATTTTACTAGCTACGCTGTATTCTCCAACTTTAGTCAGGCACAAACAGCAAAAATTAGGTACATAACAATATTCAAAATACAATCCACCTGCATAGCGAACAGCTATCATTCCTTCAATAACAGTTTCCTCCTACTCAGAGAGGAGCCAAGATCAATGATAGAAATCCCATAAGAAGGAAGCACTGGGGAGTGTGTGACTACTTACATCATTGAATGCACAGCATTTCTGAGCACAGGCTGAGGCTTCATCCCACAGCTTACACTTGAAGTAGTACTGGGCCAGGTAACGGAAGGCAGTACTGACCTCCAGGTGCTCTACTATCTCCTACAAGATCAGGAGGGAAATACCATCTTTGAATGTCTTCCAAATTAATTCTACATCATGTTTATTTCTAACTTTCATTCCTAAGATAGTCTTACCCCACAGGAATAGATATCCTGGATGTATTTGATATAACACTGAGCAGCCTGTTCAGATTCATTCAGCTGTTCATGCAGCCTAGAAAAAAAGGGGGGGGGGAGAAACACCAAGGGTCACTGTAATAAAAGTACATTGTGAAAGACACCCAGAGCAAAACTCCTAGATCTTCYTCGTCTATGAGAATGTACCTATTAAACTTAACCTAAACTAGACAAGCATTTTCCTTTAGAATTTGCAAGACACTTGCCCTGTCCAGCACTTCTTGGAAGACATTACCAGCACGAGGCCAGCCAGATGCTAAATGCTAGAAGCAGCTGCAGACAGAGCAGAGAGCTATACCTATTCCACTACATTTTTTAAACAGACCTTCTATTTCCTCCTATTCTATTTCCTCTAGTGCTCCTCTTCCCTCTTATATCCCAAAATCCTTGTACAGCAGCTTCACCTTTCACCTGCCCACTTTTTTTTTAAACTTTCTTCCCTTTATATTACTTCTTCCTCAGCAAAAGTTCRTGCTAAAATTGAAGCGCTCACATTCATTGCAAGTTAAACCCTTCTTCCATGTCACATCCATACATTTGACAAAGTCAATATATTATCTCATATAATATTGAGCATCATGCACTTCTTTCACTGTAACTCTCAGAAGTGCTGTCAGTGCCTGCCCAAATCCTTCCTGGTTTTAGAGTTTCCTTTCAAGGTACACTATCCTATGACTCCCTCTACAATTGCCCTGAGGGATATCTAAAGCTAACACTAGACACTAGGTTACTAGCACTAATAGCGCAGTAATAGTGGTTATGGCACCAGTCCTTCTAAGAATTCTGTATTATTACATTGTTCAAAAAGTAATATTGCCTAAAAGCAATTCCAATTGTTTTGCATTTATTATTTCACCAATAGGCATCAGAGTGTTTTAGCTCCACTTAATACAATCTTGACAATTGAATGCTACTATATACTCACTTTGCCAGCTTCACCAATGCCATTTTCTCCACATCACCAACAGCATAAGCTCTCCAATAGCACTGCCAANNGTCAGTCAAGCACAGAACAAAACTGACTCCAGCTCACAATTCTCATGCAAGCATGACAGAAACAGAAAAAGCTAAATTGTTCTGCAGGAAAGCGACAAGTCTGGGGCATGACTATGAAGATGACTTGGAGACTGCAGCATCTTCCCCATGAAGAAAGACCAAGAGAACTGGGGTAGTTTTGCCTACAAAAGACTGAAAAGTGATCTTATCGATGTGTATAAATACCTTCAAGAAAGGTGTGAAGAAAATAGGGCTAGACTATTTTCCGTGATGTCCACCCAAAGGACAATAGGCAATGAGTACAAATTGAAATATAGGAAGTTCTGCCTGAATTTGAGGAAAAAAACCTTTTTGACTGTGAGGGTGAAAAAGTCCTGAAAGAGGTTGGCAGGAAGGTTGTAGAGTCTCTGTCTCTAGAGATATTCAAAACCTGCCAGGATGCAATCCTGTGCAACGTGCCCTAGGTGACCCTAGGCTTTAGTCAGGGACTTGAACCAGAAGATGTCCACAAGTCTCTTCCATATATAATCCATAGACAATTCTTTTTGCCAGTTGCTCCAGATACATTGAGGCAGAACTATGCAATCAACAGGAGCAGCTTAAATAAGCCCCCAACAATAAGTTGTGTATATTTCCTTACACTTTGAGTCTAGGTTCAGGACTGCAATAACTATCAACAGCTACTCAAAGGTTCATCTCTCTCACTGTTAAGGGACAGTTCTGACAGTGCTAACCACACAATTTTACTGCAACCCCACCCAGCATCCTGGAAGACATTCTAACACACAGTCTGTCTGGCTGTGCATTTTAGTGCTCACTTACCTTTTTAGCTTCCACCAACTGGTTGAGCTTCTCATAACACTCTCCGAGAGCAACCAGCATCCGGGAATCATTGGGTCTGTAAAAAAGCAATTCCTAAATGTAGTTTAAAGAATAGTCAAGCCAGACAGTATCTGGCCAAGTCATCTTCTCTTATATGAAATCTCATCTAGACTCCTGACCAGCACTCTTCAGTATTTAACTGGTCAAGCCTTTGCTAAGGGTAGGCAAATACAATTGAAAGAATTCAGCATAGTGAGACAGCACAAAGCATGGGGYTGATGCTTTTGCCCCTTTTGCCCAACTTATTTCCTGTATATAACTTCCTTAAAAGGCAGCAAGCACTTCACAGTGAACACCAAAAAATTTGGCCATATTCCCAACTGTACCTGAGCTGGTGGGCCCGTCGGTAGTAATAGAGACAGTAAAATGGCATTTTGAGGATTTCATAGGTTTGCCCCAAGCCATACCAGGCTCTATAGTCCCTTTTGTTCACCTCTATTGCATGTCTGTTGAAGACAAAAAAAAAAAACAAAAAAAACAAACCCACACTAATCAGGAAACAGTCCAGATCAGGACAAAACTCAGTAAAAGACTAAGAAGGAAAAGCAGTATATATTAATCCAATCCTTGTGTATGCAGACCTCAATGTTATTTTGTGCGGTGCRTGAGTGATACCTATAAGCTTGAATAGCTGCAGATGTGTTCTTCATTTCCATATACTCATGTCCCATAAGTGTCCAGGCTCCCAGATATCGAGGATTTAGTTTCAAAGCTCTCTGGAAATAGAGTGCTGCTTTTTCATGCTGGGAGCGTAAACTATAATAATTTCCTACAGCAAAAATCAATAACCACAAAAACAAAACAAAGAAAACACATAAATTTAAATAAATGACAAAAAACAGCAGGTAGATAAGAAACTGATAGAAGAGGCATCATTTACTACCTTTTAACTTAAAATAGCAGTCTGTTTTCCATTGCTCTGTTCAAATCCTTTTCCAGTAGCACCAATAAATTTAGATCCCATCTCTTGCCTTGAAAGCCTATTTCAAGATCTAATAAATGAATTTCCCAGACCTGATGCAGAACCATTTCTTTTGGAGTTTCAGGACTACAAATAAAAGAATTATGCACTACATGGGTCTTAGTAAGGTTTTCTTCAACTCTCTTTGCACTGACAATCTTAAAGTGGCTTTTTCAGAGAGAGAGAGAGAGAGAGAGAATGGAAAGGGGTACTCTGTCATTTTGCCTGCATTTTAAGGCGGTGTGAGACCACACTCACAAATTGATTTTTATAGCCTTGCTGGTAGTACCTTTTTGTAAGAATTATCAACACTCCCACAGTTGCAGACAGGGTAAGAACAAGTAATAGAGCTGGCTCTCACCAATTACGCAGCAGGTCTCAACACGATACTTGTCTATCTCACAGAGATTGTGAGCAAGGTAGCTTAACTCAGGTTTCATGCTCTAGTGAAACAGAGAAAGCAAACCGGTGAGGGAAGCGCACATTTCACATTCTGATAGAAGAAAATCTACATAAAAGGTGCTTACCCTAACATATAGCAAGTTGGAGAAAGTGTCCATGTTTTCTATTCTGTAAGGGTCTTGTTTTCTTAGCTCGTTAAAGATGGATAAAGCTTTGTCAATATCTGAACAAGGAAGAAGAGATGTGAGACCAAGAACTACAATTGCTAAGTCTGCATCGAATGGCTTGCTCCTRCTAGTAAGCATCACTGACCTCGGATGTTGTGGTACGCAACTGCAATTTGAGAGATGATGTAAGTGCTTTTGGAAAATCCTGCATCAATGAGACTCTGATACTTCTGCAGAGCCTCCTCTATCAGCTGTAGCTCTGTATAAATGTGTGCAAGAAAGAACTCTTTCATCCATGTATCTGGTAAGGCCAGGAACTTCAACTAGCAAGAACCAAAGAAGAGATGACAGTCAGTAGTATTCTAAGAGCCATCCGTGGCAAAGAATCCATTATTTTCCCTCCTATGATCTTGCAGATGGTCTTGACATAGGAGACTTTCATGTAATCTATTTCTTAGGCCATAATACCAGCTATGAGAGAGCTGCATTAGGACCAAGAATTAATATCAGGTTCTTCCACTACACAGACTGATGCCTATAAATTAAGAATACTGAAACAAGAAAGAAACATTAAAACATCTGAAGAACAGTACAATATGAAAAGCACGTTCAGTCACTCCCTTTGTACTCGCGTGACTGACCAAATGGAATGACTCCATTTCTTCTKTAATTTCAAAAATAACTGAAAAAAAAATTGTCTTATTTCAAATCTGAGAGCACCTGTCTTCTGCTTCAGCTACTGGCCTTACTTCTCCACTAAATTCAAATGTCCTTCAAAATATGTTATTTTTCTTCCATATTTGAATACAAATAAATATCCTATTTGTGATGTGCCAAATGAATACAGCTGCAAATAATCTCACCAGAAATACACTCCTCTTTTTCCACAAATCTGTAAGACTCTCTTCTGTRTCACCTCTGTTTTTTAAAATATTCTTTAAATTCTTTAACCAGCCACAACTGTGTGAGAATTCCAGAAGTGGTTACATTAGTCCCATGCATAAAGAAAAAAAATCTTCTAATTTTCTGTATCTAAGTTCAGTTATTTGATACACTCCCTCACTTCATATGTGTGACTTGTATTTGACAAAGGGTGCATCTATTTTTTTTTTTAACTCTGGATGAGAACTGCACTTCTAAARCAAATTTTTCAATTACCCTCACTAGCATATTTTGTTTCAAATTAAGAAGTTCTATCAGAGGATGTRAACTTCATTGTCTCAGGATGAAAATGAACTCAGATATGTACTCTAATTGCTAATTACCTATTATTACTTAGTATGTAAGCCACAGAAGATTACAACTAGTTCAAAGTAATCTCATATCACATATACTGTAAACACAAGGTCTCCAGATACAACTGTTTCTCAGTATAGATTCAAGCCTACTACACCGCACTTGCTGATAATRAAAGAACAGCCTTATTAAAAGCTCACTTGGTTGAATGGCTGTTTACCAAAGGATTAATGTCATTACATGTACACACAACAGTGTAAACAAAAATCACAAACTTCTGGTCATTCAAAAATGTTACCATTAGTGTTTTTTTATATACTTTTACATCACCAACAAAAGTGCTTAGCAACTGTGAAACCAGAACCAGTTATGTAAATAAGAAAAAAGAAATCTAATAAAGATTTTATTTGCATGACAATAACTATCTGACAACTCTTTCAGAACGTATGAAGTAGCCATTTCTCATGGGTGAACAAGAAGTTAGTCTTGGCTGCAATAAAGGCTCTCAGACTACAGCATGGCAAGCAGTTACACAAAAATATACTTCAACAACAAATTTACAGTTTTGGTTTGCCTTGCCTGACAGAGCCGTGCAGAAGAATAAGCAGTGTGTGACACTCATCTTATGACAACTAATCCATTAGTTACTGAATCATGTTAGACTCTAGAATTTATCATCACATCTTGATAATTCCCAGTTTTTACCATCTCTTTATCTGTGATCAAGTTGCAAAGCTCCAACCATGCTCCCCAGTGCAAAGGTAAGACATGGGCAGCTTCAACAAAAACATCTATGGCTTCTTTCACCAGGTCCAGCTTCCGCAGTACCACACCATACCTAAAGAAAAAGTTACCAAATTATCAGAGACAAATACTCTGTGTAGCTATATAAGAGTACATGTGTACATTAGAAATATATGCAAACACTTACAAATAAAGGCCAAATCCATCCAGTTCTCGTGCTTTGTGTTTCTTACTAAGCTCTACTCTCAATTCACGTAGAGCTTCATTTTTTACCTGCCCTTTTTCCAGAGGTCCTGCATGAAGACAAGGTCAAATAGCTAGCTTTCAACCAAGATTCTTACCACAATAATTGTGAAGTCAAGGGCTCATTCAGAGTGTACCACTGGGATGACCTGAAAGCTTACCACTCTCTGGTAATTCTTCTCTTCTTAAAAGATAACCTTTATGTCTAATTACCTACTTCAAAAATAGAACTACAAGATGCAAATCTGTAATCTGCATCAAGCCAACGAACTGAGAATGAAAACGAACTGAGAATGAAAACGAACTATCTTACAGGACACTATCCAAAAAATCAAGGTGCATACAGGTGAAATGATCTGCCTGAAGAGGCATTACTGGAAGCTTCACTATATTGTCTTACATTCAGAGACTTACCCAGACTATCCACTGTTTCATCATCCTTCTTCTTTTCTCCTGACTGTAGAAAACAGAAGAAAAACAAGTTTACTTTACAGTAGCATATTCCTTAGGTTATCTGTAATTCTGGTAGCAGCATTTAAAATGAGTTTTCAAGAGCACCAGAGACGATTCTACTTGTCTCAGAAAGCAAACAAAAAAAAAATCCCCAATTCTCCCCCCATATAATTTGTCTTTCTATACTATCATTTAGAACAAGACCAAAGGCTAAGGTTTGCCAGGCTCTAGAGGAGGGAGGCGACGGAAGCAGATGAGTTCTGCGGTAAAGGGATTTTTCCCCATGTGTCTTACCAGGTACCTAGAGTACATATACAAGAAGTAAGCCTTCTGGCTCTTGCAGCCCCGCAGAAAATACGCAGCCCTGTCATACTCCTTCAGATCAAAGTAAGACTTAGCCAGCGTATAGGCATCCAAGTCACGAGCATCCTCCTGAAAGGACAAAGAGGAGTCCAAGGCCTCAGAATCTGCTACACTTTTGGAAAATTATCAGTTAGAAATATATCAAAGAAATTGTTTAGAATAGTAAAAATATAACTTATTCATACCCAAGGATGGAGTACCAACTGACAGTCTCTCTATTCCCTCACGTGATTAAATTCCTAGTTCTCAAAGTACAACGGTCAGAAACCTTTAAACTGTGGCATTCCAGGAGATAAACTGCTGCAAGCCACTGGAAGGCACAAACTAGCTGGATCTAAATCAGATTGCTGTGAATTTTAATCTTTAATAAAGCTGAGCAAATAAAAATTAGACAGCATAATATCCAAGTTCTGCTTGTGGGCTGTTGCCACAGGGCCCAGCAACGCGCACTCAGGGCACTGTCACCCGGGCACCTGCGCGGTTGGGAAGCGCGTGCACCCGCCAGCAGGGCCGCGTTCCGCCCGCAGCCGCACCAGGGCCCCGCGCGGCCCCGCGCACCGCTCGCCTTGCACGGGGCCGGGGAGGTCCGGGGGGCGCAGCCCGGGCCGGGGGGCGCACCTCAGTGAGCGCGGGCGGCGGCGGGAGCTCGTTCAGCGGCAGCGGGTCCAGGGCGAAGGCCAGCTCCGAGGCCCTGCGGGGAGAGAGGCGCGGTGAGCGCGGCGCGGCCGGGGCAGGCGGCGCGGCCGGACGCGCCCGCCCGCGGCGCTCACCACTTCCCGCTGTGCTGCAGGCCGCGCTCGCGGCTCCGCTCCGCCACACTCAGCAGCTGCTTCTTGATCTCCCGAAGGTCCGAGAAGTCGCCGCCGCTCAGCGCCACCGCCATCCTGCCCCACGCCTCTGACCAATAGCAGCCCCGCACACTGCGCGCGGCCCCGCGCCGTCCACCAATGGCAGCCCCGCGCACTGCGAGCAGCCCTCATTGGGTACCCTCGCTCCCAATCAAAGCAGCCGCAGCGAAGTCGGGGCTCCCTATTGGCCGCCGGTATGGAGGGCGCGCTCCGGTGGCGCCGCGAGGCGGGCGGCGGCGGCTGCGCGCCTCGGCCTGGGGCGAGGGGCGCCCCGGGGCTCTGGGCGCCGCCCTCTCCTCCCCTCCCCCCCCCYCCCCGCGGTGCCCCCGGGCCCGCCCCGCCGCCGTGGGCGACACCTCCCCGAGGCAGCCGTGAGGCGCCTGCCGAGGTGCGACCCCCTCCCGCGCCGGCCTGCCCCCGCCCCCTGCCACCGAGCAGAGTTTGGCTTTCCCTTTTTATGTTTTTGTTCCCAGACATTGTGCATACCCTTTGTTTGTTTTACGTGCTCTCTATAAAGGTTTTTTCCTGTCTCTTTATTGAGATAGGTAAAAGATCTACAGCTTTTAACAGGTACATAGGCTGAGGCCTTATCTCACTCACTTGAGAAAGGCAGAAGAAAAAGCTGGTTCAGAGACAGCTGAGGAAAGGTTAGTATAGTCAGCAGATTATGGGAGATCYTCCCCAAATCAGCACCATCTGAACCTGAAATTGATTTCTATCTCATGTATTTTTGATTTTTCTCGTTTTGTTTAATTAAAAGGTAGTTGGTGAGCGTTTTGGACTGGCTGTGGTAGCTCCTCAGCTTGGATGCAAGGTAGGGAGTTTCCCATGACCCTGAAACTTTGTATTTATTCCGAGATCAGGAAACCCCAGTCTTTCCCCATATTAATAGTTGGCCAGTTGGTAGCTTATAGTGGAAGCAGTTGCTRCTTAGTTTCTGTGTGCTCCCTTGCCCTTAAGGTCCAATCTTCCAGGCCTTTTGACTGCTTCTTAATGGTATCTCAGTTTGCTTCTGTTGACAATGCTCGCCAATTAAACATCATCACCAAATTTCATTTGTATACTTTTATTTTCTGTAATAATTCTTTATATTTCTRTGTCCAAATTGTGATTTAAAAATGTTGAGTAAAGCGGTCCTAATTCTGGTCTCTCTGGACTGTAATCAGTCCTAGATTTTTCCTCTTAATTTCAGACTTTTTATTTCCCCCTTCCATTTATCCTGCTTGGGCAGCTTTACCAGAGTTACACTGGGATATAATTTGGCCCCAAGTTTTTTCCATGGTGTTTAGATCTTAACAGTACAGAAATTTACAGACTTTTTTTTTCCCTTTTTTTTTGAAATAATATTGTGAAAAATCTGAAATTTCTCCTTTTCCTTGTATCTAGCAGCCTATATGTTATTTTTCTGTCTCTTTGTGAGCTATTGAGTTTTATCTTTTCCTTGCTGCATTCCTTAGCTTGACTTCTAAGATCACCTACTTTCTGTGTACTAAGGAACAATTTTTCAATTGTGCCTGCATGTTGATCAGGGCCCTTTACGCTGGAGCTGCTGTKAATAAAAACTGGCTTTTTTATTCTATTACAAGGATGGGTCTGATCATCACACAGCATACCTGACTGACTCGTTCATTCCTTGTTATCCTTAGTCACTCATTCTCTCTGTATTTGGAGATCAACTATTAGAGTGTACAGTTTTTCTTTACTCCCTGATTTTGTACTTGCCTTTATTAATTTAATTGCCCTAATTTAAGGTTTTCCAGTTTCTATAGGAGTTGAATGACTCTTAATAATTTTATCAAAATCTGTTTGCCTTCACTTCAGCTTTGGAACCACAGAATATTGCATGCTGTATTCCTGTCACGAAACTGATAATATGCTTGAAGTGCTCAGAGATTTCGATAGGAAAGATGGAATTGTCTGCAAAAAYGTGAAGCTGTACTGATGCAAGTGCTTGCTGAAGTCTGGGCAAAATGTCATCGATGTCTGGATATGGATGTGTGCCGCTTGGGCAGTTGCAGTCTAGCTGTTCATTTGATTGCTGCGCTATAAAAGCAGCAGCTCTGTCACACAGGGCATAAACGTTTTTCTGTTGAACAGTTCACTGTGCTGTGTGCGACCAGAGAGATGTGAACGAGTGAGTGACTCGCTGCAGTCGCTGCGGGGCAGCAGCTCGTGCTGCTCTCGCTGCGATTTGCTGCTCCGATAGTTAAACGGGAGGTGGCGCTTTGGTCCCTTCTTAGGCGCAGGAGAAGGGCGCGGAAGGGACTAACTGATGGCAGAGGTCAGTAATCCAATTTCCCAAAGCTTGTTTCATGATGAGATCTCATAATTCTTCCTGTCATTCCATTGTTTAATAGATGCGTCTTTTAAGTGACACCCAGGGCTGGCTTTTAGAGCAGGAGACTAATTAAATACTTCGCATGTGAAACTGAGAATATCTCAGGGATTTACAGGTTATGTACTTGCTGGAGACTATTAGAAGAAGAAAAACAGAATTTTGCACACCATGACATTGCACAACTATCTGTCCCTCGTGCTCCATAGAAACATGATGACAGAACTATTCAAGACCAGTGGAAAAACAAATATTATGCCCATCATAGGGATGAGTGGTGTAGGTGAAGTTACATTAATATGATTAAATTTTTCAAAGTTGAAATGTTCAAATGTACAGCTAATGTTCACTGAAATCTAATGTAAATGGTATTTATAAATATAGAAGTGTCTTGCTAATAGGGAGAGCTTCATCTGTTGACAAACATTCTAGCATCCAGAGCTGAAAGTGTAGATGACTTATAYATGATCTGAATCAAATTCTTTGTTAAAATGCTAGCAAACTAAGCTTTTTAATCTGTTTAAAAATCTTCTCTGTTGTAGTCTAATATTAGGCTGAGAAGCTTGATTTCATAAGAATTTCTTRTTTAGAGTTATGTGACTCCTAGCTTTGCTTGTTATACATGTCTGCCAGGACATCATTAAGCCTAGAGCTTGGAAACCATGTGACCCTAAAATGTAAGGGAAACCATTTATAATCAATTTACATCAGGGTGAAGAATAAATCTTTTCAAGCTGTGGTTGAGTTGCAAAAGACAGGACATTGCCTGTCAGAAGTGAGAAACATTACATTGAAACGTGTATCAACAGTGAGACACAGGCATTGAGTTCTCAAGGATGGAGTTACTTTTATTTTTAGGAGTTACTTTTATTTTATTTTCTTCAAACCTTTATTTGTAGGCAAGCTTTTTTTCCAATATTCTTCTTTATTCTCCCTGCCCCTCCACTCCTAGTAGCTTTCTTGCTTTTGAAATGAGTGACTTTTCTTTTTTTTTTCCCTCAATCTGCACTATATCATACATGCTATRTTACACCTCTTTAATGAGCTTTCTTTAAAAAAAATCAGCAAAACAATATGGCTTTCTGTTTTCAAAAGCCGTCGTATAATCTTTTTTTACAGATACTTGAGCTGTCCTGTTTAAAGTAAAATCTGATAGTAATTTTATTAGAACTACAAACTTTTATCCACACCTATGTGTATAGGTATATAAATATTTCTGTGCACATAACAATATTTTTCTCATTCTTGAAGGCCATAACRTAGCTTTTCAAAGACTGATTGCTATTCAGAGTTTTGCTAAGCCTGGTGGAAGGTCATGAGAAAATTCTGTCTTGAACATCAATACCACAGTATGTTTCTGATGACAGCAGCCACTTGTGACAGGTACAAAGCTATCAAATACTTGTCCATAGAAAGTATTTTATTTATTTATTTTTTACTGGTTGTACAGAAAAAAAAATGATAAAAATAGATAGGTAGCAAAGCTTCCATCCTTTTGTGTATGTTTTTAGGGGCTTTCATTATAACTTCAATCCATTCTAGTGTCTTTTTTCTTTATTCTTAGTGTACTAGGATTACAGAATTTTGTGAACAGAAATTCTGGAATAAAATGGCAAATATTAAAAAGAAGAAAAAAGAAAGCTGGATTGAATATCAAACAGGGATGAGATGCTTTTCAATCTGTTACTAATAGAAGAGGTGCTAAACTGAAGGATGAATGCTTGCAAGTGAACAGGAAGTGAGAAATTGCTTGTGAAAAGAGGAAGGTTTAGCCCTTTTGTGGTTGCTCTGCGTAGCACGGCTAGTACTGCCATTCCTGGTGTAGCGATTCTGAGATGGCGCGGTGCTGGAGGTAAGAGACAGGTCCATTTAGGGAATGGGAGAGGGAAGATTAGCAAGAAGAGGGCTGCGGAGATGAACCAGAAGGTTCAGAAGAACAATTTAGCATTATAGGGCCAGAATCTTCTTGGATATCATTAGCTGTTCCTGTAAGGGAGAGAGTAAGGGGGAGAATACAACATAGTGATAGAGTTAAAGCGGATGTTAATACTATTAATTCCACTTTCTCTCAATATTAGCAGCAGTTTTCCTGCTTTTCTTCTGATTAAATTCTTACAAAGCACTACAGAGCTGACTTCAGTAAGCACTTTGTGCTTCCCCTGACATCAGGACCTTCAGCAAGATACTTTGCTACGTGGACCATTGATTTGACTTTTTTTTGTGACATTGAGGCCTAGAGAGACCTGTGTGCTTATCTTTCTTCATAGGGACTGGTTCTGTCCTGTCCAGATCTGTTAATGCAACGGTGAATGTGAAAATGTGTGACTCCCACCAGTAAATCTAGAGGTGATTACTGGCAGAGTCATCAATTGTTGCAACTTTTACAAGTGARTGAGAACTTTAGAACTGCCCTGATTGAAAGCATAGGAAAGCAACCTTTCCTCATTATAGACATGACAGAAGCAAAGCACTCACTGCAATGGCTATTTATTTATTTATTTTCGGGGGTAAATATTATTCTTAAGAATTTAAATGAGAGATGCAATGCAGAGTCCTAGAAAGCAAGTAGTCATCATTCACAAAATGATAGCATGGGTAACAAGGTAGCAAGCTGTGGTTAAAATAAATGAGAAGTGTACAAACCCACAAGAGATAGAATTATATAGTATGAACTGGAGGTTTGACAAGTGATACATAACGAAGACCATTACCAAAGCAAAACAAAAAGGCAGAACAAAGACTTTTTTGTTGATGAAGTACATTTGTGTGGTCAGTAACCTGTTAGGACAAAAACAGAAAGTCCATATTGTACCACGCTTGAAATGCACTGAAAAAAAAATGAGATCTTGGGGCTTGAAATCTTCATGCAGAATGGAATGGGTGATTTTTAGGATTGCTTTTCCATCTTCAATTTGTGATTCATTCCCAGTCCCATTATTTCTTCTCYTCCATGTGTGTGCTTGTTAATCGTATAAACCATATATGCTGCAAGCAAAAACAGAGAGCCTTTATCATTAATTATTGGAAATTGACTGAAGAGTATCTCCTGTGACCAAGGGGCATTATAGTCCATAGTCATAGAGATGACGAGCACAATCTAAAACATCTGGTATTTAAAGAGAGTGTTAATGTGAGTAATGGAGCACAGAATGGGATTCTTTTCTCGGTTTGATGCTGTGCTATCTAGCTCCCAGCCCTTAGGGGACAAACAGTGAAGTAAACTGTGGGAGGAAGCTTAGAACCGCCCTGATTGAAAGCAGGCCTTTCCTCATTACAGGCATAATGGAAGCAAACCACTCACTGCACTGATTGTTTGCCGTTTTCCAGCTAAAAAAAAAAAAAAAAAAAAAAAAAGGTGCAGTGTAGAGTGGCAGAAAGCAGGTAATCCTCATCCTCAAAATTACAGCATGAGCAGCAAGGTGGCAAACTGTCCTACTGTACTTACACATCAGCATTTATTTTGTATTACAAGATTCACC